GTCTACCCCCTTTGTCCTGCATCTGGATTAGGGTAGGGGGTGGGGCACCAGGAACTCGGCACTTGTCAGGTTCCTCCGAAGTTTGTGCTTTCAAGATATTCCCTCTGGGTCACGATCAATCCCTGAGTAGTTGATCCGCCAGTCACAGAGATCAGGTCTCAAGGCCGTGGGCTCAGGCAATCCTGTCACTTCAGCCTCCCAAAGTGCTGGGATCATGGATGTGACACCACGCCCAGTCACTTTTTTTTTTAGTCAGAGTCTCACTCTTTCGCCCAGGCTGGAGTGCAGTGGCATGCTCATGACCACCGCAGCCTCAACTACTGGGCTCAGGTGATTCTTCTGCCTCAGCATTCCACGTAGCTGGAACTACAGGCGCCTGCCACCATGCCTGGCTAATTTTTTGATTTGTTGTAGAGATGAGGTTTTGCCAAGTTGCCCAAGCTGGTCTTGAACCCCTGGACCCAGGCAATCCTCTTACCTCCACCTCCCAAACTGCTGGGATGACAGGTATGAGCCACCGCACCCGGTTTACATATTTTTAAATAATAATTTTAAAGTCTCTATCCACCATACTAATGTATAAAGCCAATATCTCACAGAAATCCTAGACTTCAAAAGGTGACTTCAAGAGGCAAGTAAGAATTCTAAATTTAAATTAAGATGATCTACAGATTGGCATTTGTTCCTATGTGTTTCTCACATCCACTCCTTCAGTTGCTTTGAGAGATTGGTAGCACTTGCAAACATTTTGTTGGATTTGAATCTATAAGGCAGCTTTTAATGAGTCAATATTTAATAGCAATTTCTGTTGCATCTTCCGTCTGTGCCACAGAGCAAAGGTCCCCAATCCCAACTAGGAGTACTTGTTAGGAACTGAGTCGCACAGAAGGAGGAGAGCAACAGGCAAGCAAGTTTCACCTGTATTTACAGCCATTCCCTCTCGCTCGCATTACTGCTTGAGCTCCACCTCCTGTCAGATCAGCAGCATCAGATGCTCATAGGAGCATGAACCCTGTTGTGAACTGTGCACATGAGGGATCTAGGTTGTGCACTCCTTATGAGACTCTAATGCCTAATGATCTGAGGTGGAGCTGGGGCAGTGATGCCCTCGCTGGGGAGTGGCTACAGATATAGATGAACATTAGCAGTGAGGTTTGACTGCACAGAGACCATAATAAGTCAACTGCTTGCAGACTCATATCAAAACCCTATCAATGAGTGGCAAGTGAGTTGATGTACTTCAAGTGTACGGCTGCATCTGGTGGTAGGCTTTAAGTCAGAATCTGACTTATTTTAGTCTGTGCATGGCCTGCCCATGATTTTATTTATCACTTCCGTCTGTACCTCTTTGCTGCACTGCATGCTTGTCTCAGTCACAGTTTTGGTAAGCCCACAAGCTAACCCTAGTCAAAATGAGCAAAGAACAAACATTGGAGAGTTTCTTTGAAAAGGGGGAAGACTCAATGATGAGAGTCGAAGACTCTAAGACTGTCAACAAAAAGAAAGCTACATTTATTTATTCTGAGTTGAGTCTCACTCTGTTGGGTAGGCTGGAGTGTAGTGTCATGCTCATGGCCACCACAGCCTCAACCTGCCGGGCTCAGGTGATCCTTCTGTCTCAGTCTTCCAAGGAGCTGGAACTACAGCATGCCACCATGCCTGGATAACTTTTATGACTTATTGTAGAGATGAGGTCTCACCAAGTTGCCCAGGCTGGTCTTGAACCCCCGGGTTCAGGGAATCCTCTTACCTTGGCCTCCCAAAGTGCTGGGATTACAGGCTTGAGCCATTGCACCTGGCAAGGAAGCTGCATTTAAAAGAAAATACTTTAAAAAAAAAGAAAATACTTTAGCCAAGCGTGATGGTGCACGCCTATAGTTCCTGCTACTTGGAAGGTTGAGGCGGAAGGATCACCGGAGCTCAGCAGGCCGAGGCTGTGGTGACTGTGAGCATGTCGCTGACTCCAGCCTGGGCAACAGAGTAAGACTCCGACTAAAAATAAATAAAATAAATAAATAAATAAATAAATAAATAAATAAATAAATAAAATAAATTAAATTATGGTTTCATTGCAACAGGTGATTCACATTTTCCAAGCCCGCTTTGTGTATGTGGCAAACGACTATCTAATGAAGCCATCTGTGAAAACTTCAAAACTACTTTGTCACATGGAGACCAAGTATCCTGCATTAAAAGACAGGTTTTTGGAGTTTTTCTTTTATGTTTTTTTGAGTTGGAGTCTTACTCTGTTGCCCAGGCTGGAGTGCAACGGCATGCTCATAGCCACCGCAGCCTTGACTTGCTGGGCTCAGATGAACCTTCTGCCTCAGCCTTAAGTAGCTAGAACTATGGGCATGTGCCACCACACCTGGCTAATTTTTTGATTTATTGTAGAGATAAGGTCTCCAAGTTGCCCAGGCTGATCTTGAACCTGTAGGTTCAGGCAATCCTCTCACCTCAGCCTCCCAAAGTGCTGGGATTATAGGTGTGAGCCACTGCGGTCCTGAAGTTAAAAAAAAAAAGTGAACACAAAGAACAGGAGCAATTATCGAAGGCAGTCATTTCATCACTGAAACCATGATTCTTAAGTGGCTAACTGCATTGCTAAAGCTAAGAAGCTCTTTACTACTGGTGAAGAGTTGATCCTGCCTGCTACTAGGGACATTTGCTGTGAACTTTTGGAAGAGGTTGCTGTTCAAAAGGTGGCACGTGTTCCTCTTTTGGTTAGCACCATAGCCAGATGAATTGACTGAGGCACAGTTGTTAGGGAGGTAACTGAGTCACTGTGGTACGCAATCCAGGTTGAAGAGTCTACTGGTGTTGACAACAAGGCAACAGTGCTCATTTCTGTGCGACATCTATTTTTCAGGAGAATGTGCATGAGGATATGCTATGTGCACTTTTGTCGGAAACCAGTAACACAGTTGCAGAACGATTCAAGTCTCTGAACTATTACATATCAGGAAAACTGAATTGGTCATTTTGTGTCAGCATAGGCAGAGATGAAGCAACTGCCATGACAGGATGGCTTTCCGCTTTCACTACTCGGGTCAAAGAGGTGGCTTCTGAATTTGAGTCTATGTGCTGTGTCTTCCCTACAGAAATGCTGGTTTGCCAAAAAATGTCACCTGAGCTTAACAATGTTTTGCAGGGTGAGATTAAAATTATCAACCACATTAAAGTATGATACATGCCCTCAACTCATGTCTGTTTGTACGGCTCTGTGAGGATATGGGATGCAGAGCACACATGTCTCTTATACCAGAGGTGAGACAGCTTTTTTTTTTTTATGAGTCAGAGTCTTAAACTGTTGCCCAGGCTGGAGTGCAGTAGCACGCTCACGGCCACTGCAGCCTCAACCTGCTGGGCTCAGGCGAACCTTCTGCCTCAGCCTTAAGTAACTGGAACTACAGGCATTAGTGCCACCACAGCCGGCTAATTTTTCTTTATTGTAGAGATAAGGTCTCACCAGCCCAGGCTGGTCTTGAACCTATGGGCTCAGGCAATCCTCTCTCACCTCGGTCTCTCAAAGTGCTGGGATTATAGGCATGAGCCACCACAACTGGCCAAGATGGCTTTCTAAATGCAGATCACTGGCCAGAGTTTTGAGTTATGAGAGGCACTCCAAAGATAAGAGACTGAACCAGGGCCTTCGTTCTCCCAGCTGGTGCGTGGTCAGCTATCTCAGCTTTAAAAGAGTTTGAACATTACTTCCCAACCACAAAAGACCCCTGAACTGCAAAGGAATGGATTTAAGACTCATTTGTGAATAAGCCGGGTGAACTTTGTCCATGATAGATGATCAACTTCGTGAGACTGCAAATGATGGTGGCCTTAAAAGTATGTTTGAGACAACTTCAAATCTTGCTATGTTCTGGATTAAAGTCAAAGTGGGCTGGGCATGGTGGCTGAAGTCTGTAATCCCAGCACTTTGGGAGGCCGAGGTGAGAGGATTGCCTGAGCCCAGGGGTTCGAGACCACGCTGGGCAAGTTGGTGAGACCTCATCTCTACAATAAATAAAAAAATAAGCCGGGCACGGTAGTGCATGCCTGTAGTTCCAGCTATATGGAAAGCTGAGGCGGAAAGATCGCCTGTGTCCAGCAGGTCGAGGCTGCAATGGCCGTGAGCAGGGTGCCACTGCACTCCAGCCTGGGCGAAGGAGTGAGACTCCAACTCAAAAAAAAAAAAAGAAAAAGTCAAGGTGGAATATCCTGAGATTGCCACAAAATCACTAAAAAGCCTGCCTCCATTTCCAACATCCTATATTTGTGAAGCAGGATTTTCTGCAGTGACAGCAACCAAAACGAGATTACAAAGTAGACTGGACATAAGCAACACACTTCGGGTGTCACTTTTATCTCCCATCACCCCCAGATGGAACTGTCTAGTTGCAGGAAAACAAGCTCAGGGCTCCCACTGATTCTGCATTACAGTGAGTTGTATAATTATTTCACTATATATTACATTGTAATAATAATAGAAATAAAGTACACAATAAATGTAATGCGCTTGAATCATCCCGAAACTACCCACCCAGCCCCTGGGTCTGTGGAAAAACTGTCTCCACAAAACCAGCCCCCGATGCCAAAAAAGTTGGGGACTGCTCAACAAGGAAAATAGATCATTTTATATTTCTAACATTCCAACTGTAATTTTTTAGCAAGATGACTATAAGATGGCATTCTGTTTTAATTCATCTCCCTCTCCTGAAAAGTCAGGTCTGAAATGAAAATAAGTTAACCTCAAGCGAGAAAAATACATACAATACTGGTGCTTGCATTTTAATATTAACACGGACTATTGTCTATGAAAGTTTCATTCCTTTTTTCCCCAATCGTCCTGTTCTCAGTGTCTAGCCACAGCGAGCATTCCATAAACATCCATCAAAGAAGAGATGCTGTTGACCTTACAGCAGCAGAATACAAACGCTCCTCGTTATTCCCAGTGAAGCAATCTGTTCTGGGTTTTCATGATTTCAGCTTTCCTCAGGACAAAAAGCACTTGCAAGAAGGCTAACTCAAGTGAATGAGTCTTTGAGATTTTGAACATAGAAAATATAATTAAAGCGTATTTTAACTAGTAGGAAGTTTCTAAGAGGAAATAATACTTAAAACCAAAGTTACAAATTTCAATCTACTTAAACTTTAATTTGTGCATTTGTGGTAATTTATGACTGCAAAACACTTTTTTCTTAGAAGGACAAAGTCAAAGGCACATTTCATTTGAATGCATAGTGTACCATTCTAAAATATCCTAGCTTCCTTACAAAGTGCTTGAACAGTCACATACACATACAGTAATAGCAAAATATATTTACATTCTATAAAGCTTAAAAATTTTTAATCTAAAATATATTTTAAAAACTACAGAAAAAATTAGTGCTTTCTTCAGCTTGTGTGATATACCCTGCCCTCTAATTTTTTTAGTGATTGACTTCAATTAAAAAAATTTCTGTACACTGTGTAGTTACAAAATGCTATGTCAGTTTTTAATGCTAAAAGCCTATTTTAGACATTGCTTTATTTGCATATTTGAGAACCAGAAAAGGTGAGCAGACTGTACCTCAAAAGTATTTAGTGTTTTAATATTGTATTAACACTGTTTAAATTAAAGTCAGACAACTAAGCTAAGTTCCTCTGTCGTCCTTTGCCAAGGAAGTTAACTGTCATGTTAAAATAACTTCAGACAACATACTGTTCCCTCTTTCTACAAGATTTTCTCCCAAAAGTTCTTGGACAATAATCAATTTGGAAGGTATGAATGATCTCGGCATAATTTTAATTGTTTTCAGAGTATAATAAAAAACATCCCAGCAAGGCAGAATATTTATAAATGTTTTTTAGCTCAACTCTCCATAAATTGGTGTGCTTTTTCATGTTTCTCAGAAAAGATTTAAACTTGAACTATTTTTAAGAGATGAGCTCACTGTGATTACACGGTTAATTTGGTACGGTTAGTTAACAGTTTGCTATTCCTGAGGTATAATGACCCTAACATGCTAAGCATAGGATCAAAGATGTTATTATTCAACTAAAAAAAAAGAAAAAAGAAAAGAAAACCAAAGAAGTCATGGACTAGGAGGAAAAAAAACAAAAACAAAATAAAACAAAACACACAAAAAAACTACAGGCAAATAGAAAGTCATGGTTCGCAAAAAGACATCCCTGTAAGAGTATATATAAAAAGCCACAGACGGATCCTCTGAAGAGTTGTAAAAAGTATTTGATCAAATTATTTTTGAGACTTTTGAGGTACAGCTTTAGTGTTATAATAACTTTTTATAAAATATAGACTGTTTTATCAAAAATATTTATACATTCTGTTACAATATATTGCTTTTGCCCTCAGTAACTGCCAATATAAAATCTGGATCCAGTGGCCTAAAATATACAAATGCACTTAATGTAAATGCTGGAGTTTGAGGTGTCTGCTTGGCCACTGTACAAAAGTGATGAAGTGGTGAAATTAAATAACACGCCTACAACATAGAATACATTACAACTTGCACATATACATGTTCACAGCATGTATACAATTATCATCCCTATGGTTTAACAAAGTTCCCTCTACAGCAGACACAAAAGATGAACTGAGGCTGATAAATGCAGAATGAATACCAAAAAAGGGTAATCAGTTCACTGATTTTGGAAGAAGACATGACTGAACATACTGAGTGTCTAGACTTCGGGAATGCATACAGGTAACACAGTATCTTGGTTCAGGTTGATGAAAAGTTCTCATTCTTAACATTAAGTAAATGCTGAAGTTTAGCTGTTTCAGAAACAAAACAATTGTTTGGCAAGCAGCTCTGTTGAAAAGCTATGAGGCTCTGTTACATGGTTGGTAAAGAGAAGTCATAAGAAGTTTTCTCCTAATAAATATAGAAAATTTATAAAACAAGACATCAATTCATCCTGTTTTTTTAAAAATCAAGCCCAAAAATGTGCCCTGAACTGCCACTACATTTTTTGAGATTATAGTAGTTTCTTTAAAAAAAAGTAAGAGCATGTGCCTTATTCAATCATACTCTGTGTGAACAATAATAGCATTCCAAGTCCTTTTTTTCTTTTGAAAAAACAGAGTTAAGTGATTAATTTTCCTTCCACTTAACGCAGGCATATGGCAAAGCTAGGGACTATAAAAAAGTGTTTTTTTTTCCTTTTTTTAAAAAAATAGATTATTGATCCAAAAGTATTCATCTGTGGTGGATTTTCATGGCCGATGTTCATTCAGCTTAAACTCCACGAAATTGTTTCCAGTGCTCAGATTTAGGTTGAAATACACTGAGAAGCCATTTTTCAAGAAGGTATTAGAATGGTACTTTTAAACAGATCTTGATGTGTTTTTTTTTTAAAAAACAAACTCAGAAGCTACTGATGGCACAGAAAGCAAATGAAGGGTTACTATTTTTAAGAGGTCTTCTTGTGAGTCAGTCTGCTTGGTTTCACAGTATCTAGTAACTTAACACCAATCAGCAATGTAGTCAAAATCTCTAAACATTTCTTGCTCCTCTTCTGAGAGTATCCTTGGTTCTCGAGGCGGAGTCAGAATAGGTGCTTCTGAGGTAAATTCATCATCAAAATTACTAACATCTTCTCGTCCTCTGATGGTGGGTACAAATGGTGGCTTCACCTTCTTGTCCATAAGAGCACTCCAGTCGATTAGCTGGAGAGTAAAACAGAAAACAGTTCAGTTTCTGACTCCTAATTGCTCTCGCTTCACAAAAAATTTGAGATATTCACACTTACCCGGAAAAATGGGTGTTTTTTTACATCCTCTGCATCTTTCTCACCAGCCCCAAGGCGCCGCTCAGGATTTCTTCTCAACAGCTAACACAATGCAAAGTAAAAAAGTTAAAATAAAACTAATAAAATAAACTTGATTTGAGAAGGATTCTCATAACTTTTAAAGATTTAGATTTTTTTTGTTTGTTTTTGTTTAAACTATGTAACATCTATGAACTAAAAAACAACTTCTAATGTTCTACTGGGGAATTTCATTCAATATAAAAAATTGCTGTAATTTAAAAATTACTTTCAAAAATCATACCCTTATTTTAATTCTTACCCTTCTCATTATGGAAATGGCTTCTGTAGATAAGAACCTTGGATACCTTACTTCATCATTTACAATACTGTCAAAAACTTCCTCTTCATCATCGCCAGGGAAGGGAGACTAGAAGAAATATCTTCAAGTTAAAACGAATTGCAACAAAGTAAAATCGTATCACCTATTCAAAGTACAACCAACACCCAGGTAGTGAAAAACAAACAAAAAGTCTACCAAAACAAGAACAACAGCAAAATAACTATAAGAAGCCATAGTAGATATGTATCTATTACCTAGAAGACACATCATATACTTTTCCTGAAATCGACTTTAAATTTATGTTACCAACACTTACAAAACTTGTTCACATTATAATACCATTTTCCATTTGACGTTATTCCATTCCATTCCATTTCATTCCACTCCATTCCATTTTATTTTATTCACTCATTCATCTATTTGACCAGACAGTCAATATTTAGAATATCTACTAGACAACAGGGGATATTTAGATAACAGACATGATCCTTAAGAAGCTCAATATCATAGACAGACAGGAGGAAATGACAAGGTAAACATGATAATGAGTTAATAAAAGGAATCACAGAATCCGTGGGAATATATCAGATATGGATATGCTTTGGATCTCAAAATCAACAGCATATTAATGGTGGTAAAACACAACTAGAGCTTAGTAGGCACAATGACTGCACTAAGAAGCAGCTGACAACAAAATCGGACTAAAAGGAACTCAGAAGGCACACATTGCCAGGCATGTATTTAATGCTCTCAACACACAAAAAAATCTTAGAACATTTCAGTAGGCACAGTATTAAAATCATTTCTCATAATGGCCATAATCACCCTGATTCATAAAAAAAGTGGTTACATTATATTCAGCATGACAACTTGGATAAGCTCAAGTATCCTGAAAACTTGGCTATCAAATGTGACTTACTACCTCAGAATTTCAGATGGCTTAACGTTTACTCAGCTATTTTCAATATCAGGAAACAAATGTCTAAGTATCATTTAATGTCTTAAAAATAACTGAAACAAGTCAGTATCTCTAACCTTATTTTATCATTGACTGCTGGGGAAATACAAACGCACTTAGCCTCATTAGGTTTGATTTAGCTGCTTGCTTCCAATGAGGAATCAAAAAATAAGAGCCAAGAAGAAAGCAATATCAATGGGAAGGGAGGGAGCTTTAACCCGAGGAGTCACATTTAAAACTCAACCTCCAGGGCTGAGCTTCCAATCTTATTGCTCATAGCTGACAAAAATCTCAAAGTTTTCTGTTATCAAAACCTTTGTCTGTCCATTTACTCATTCAAAATACATAAATCAAATACCTATTATATGGGACAATCTAATTTCTTTTGGGTATTAAAACAGCAAGTTGAGAAGATTCTATTTCACTAGGATTCTCAATCAGAATTTCAGGTGGTAATAGAGTGCTCTTGTCTACTGCTTGAACAATTCTGTACTTGAAAACTGTCACTTAATAAGTCTTTGAATAGCAAAGAAATATCCATGTATTCGTTAAAATGTTAAAGTACCTTCTTTCTGAAAACAGACTAAGCCAACAGGGCTAACAACAGAGGCTAAAAGTGCATTTTAAACACACATAAACAGAATCCAGCAGTTCAGATGTCCACATCCACAGCATTTAATGCCAGTGCAGCCTTTCTTTACATTTCTCTGGCACCTTCACTCCACTCCGTCACCCTGGGCTGGAGTGCAGTGGTATGCTCATGCCACTGCAGCCTCAACCTGCTGGAGTCAGGTGATCCTTCCGCCTTAGCCTTCTAAGTAGCTGGAACTACAGGCATGCACCACCATGTTCAGTTTATTTTTTGATTTATTATAGAGGTGAGGTCTCACCAAGTTGCCCAGGCTGGTCTCGAACCTGTGGGCTCAGGCAATCCTCTCACCTCAGCCTCCCAAAGTGTTGGGATTATAGACATAGCCACTGTGCCCGGCTTAATGCTATAAAATTAAATGAAATTGCAAGAAGCAATTGTGAAGGAACAGTCTCGTCAATTGTTTTTTGTCTTCTAGGTAATTAAGAACTCAATTAGACACTCTTTCAAAAAACATGAAACAGTAGTTTCTTCACTTGTCCTCTGCCAAACCCTCCAGTGGCTTTAGAATAGGAAAAGGTAGACTCAAATGGTATTAATTCTGTAGTACTTCATAATAAACTCACATTTTTGCATGTCATCTCTAAAATGGAGAGTATATTTTAATGAAGCACATAATTAAATCTCCTAATTAAATCTTATACTTACTTGAATACATTTAAATCAAAGCAAGAAAAATGTTACTTTTAAAAAAAGAAAAGGGAAAGAAAAAAAGTTCAAGTATGCCAGAGATTACAGAAGCAACACCTATTATGAGAGCTTTTGGCACTCTCAGACTCAGAAAGTTAAAAACCAGTGTGTATTAGGGCTAAAATAAATCTTACCATCCTTAACATCCCATAATTTTTTAAAAATAGAGATGAAAAATTCAGATCTGGACCATGGCCTTAAGAACAGAAACAGGCTGGGTGCAGTGGCTCATGTCTGTAATCTCAGCACCGTGGGAGGTGGTGGTGAGAGGATTGTCTGAGCCCTGGGGCTTGATACCAGTCTGGGTAACTTGGTGAGACCTAAACTCCATAATAAAAAAAAAAAAAGTTAGACAGGCATAGTAGCGTGTGCTTGTAGTTCTAGCTACTTAGAAGGCTGAAGCAAAAAGATTGCCTGAGTCCAGTAGGTCGAGGCTGCTGTGGCCATGATTGTGCTACTGCATTCCAGTCTGGGTGACAGAGTGAGACTCTGACTTGGAAAAAAAAAAAAAGAAAGAAGAATAAAAAAAAAGGCTGGAGCAATAAAGAATAATGCTCTAGAGACAGCTTCTCTGGCCAGAGTGAAAGGGTTAAAATTCCAGCTCTATCACATGAGAGGTATGTGACTTCAAGCAAGTTATTAATCTCTCTGTGTCTCCATTTATGCTTATGAAAATGGTCATAAAGTCAGTACTGAGCTTATTAAAGTTTGTCGCAAAATTAAATGAGCTAGTATTTATAAAGTACATATAATAGTGCCTAGAGTTTCTATTTCTTTTTCTCCTTTTCTAGAGAATCCACTTCAATCTGACATACCCAAAGGGCTAGCAACTGGATAAACTAAAACCATTTGTTTGTTTGGGGTAAATGTTAAGTACAGAGTAAAATAAAAAATTTCTGATATTCAATAATTTGACCATTCATTTATTCAGCTGCTTATTCATGCCTTTAAGAATACATAAGAAAAAATTTTGGCAACGGGGGAATCTGCAAAATAATGAACCAATCCCATAAACTAATTTCATGTACATCTCCAGATCAAGTCCTTCTATGTAGTTTTAAATCCCTTATCAAAAGATCATAGTTGTTAATCACTTATCAAAAGATTTACTCTTTTCCAAATCTACCTATCGTTCCTGATAATTTATAACACAATACCTTTACCTCTTATTACTGGTTTATTTTATATAACTTGTTGTTTCCTAAGTGGTTTACAATTTCTATACACAACTCAGTTATCCTAAAAAATTTATTTTAAGTTGATTTACAGGAAACAGTAGAAAAAATGTTAATTGTTTCAACTCTACTATTTTTTTTTTTTTTTTTTTGAGTCTGAGTCTCACTCTGTCGCCCAGGCTGGAATGCAGTGGCATGCTCACGGCCACTGCAGCCTCGACCTGCTGGGCTCAGGTGAGGCTTCCGTCTTAGCCTTCCAAGCAGCTGGAACTATAGGCACACACCACCACGCCTGGCTAATTTTTTTTATTTACTGTAGAGATGAAGTCTCGCCAAGTTGCCCAGGTTGGTCTCGAACCCGTAGGCTGGGGCAATCCTCTCACCTTGGCCTCCCAAAGTGCTGGGATTATAGGTGTGAGCCACTGCGCCCGGCCAACTCTACCATTTTTGAAGGTAATATTTTTTTGTGATCAATGTACAGTTGATTTTTCTTTATAGGCGCATTCTTTTTATTAGTCTTCCTGCTAATCTATTCCCTATGAAATGACCAGTTACATGTGATTATGTCTTAAAATCATAAAACATAAACATAGTACAATACTGACATACAGGAAACTATTTTCAAAGCATTTGTAATTCATTCCACAAGTCACATGAAAACCTTTAAAAAACAAGTGAAGTTATGACAGATGCAAAGCTGATTATTAGTACACTATAAATATTAAAAAACAACTTCTGCTCATGCAGAAGACAATATTAGGTGCCTTTATAAATGACATGCTCTGTTAATTCAATCATCTTTCCTCTGTTCTCCCTCATCTGCTTCATACTGCTTACCTCACCAACGAGCATTTCATATATAAGCACACCAAGGCCCCACCAATCTACAGCCCTTGTATAGGATGTTTCTGTTAATACTTCTGGGGCAAGAAATTCAGGAGTGCCACAAAATGTGCTTGTTCTGTCTCCATATCCCATTCCTGGAAAAGAGAAAGTTTAAACATTTGTTAGCAAGAAAAAAAATCTAGCATAAAAAATTGGGCTGGGCTCGGTGGCTCAGCCTGCAATCCCAGCACTTTGGGAGGCCGAGGCAAGTGGATTGCCTGAACCAGCCCAGGCAACTTGGCGAGACCTCGTCTCTACAATAAATCAAAAATAGCCAGGCATGGTAGCATACGTCTGTAGGTCCGTCTACTTGGAAGGCTGAGGCGGAAGAATCACCAGAGCCCAGCAGGACAACGCTGGGGTGGCCATGAGTGTGCCACTGCACCCCAGGCTGGGTGACAGAGTTAGACTTCAATTCAAAAAAAAAAAACTGGAAGCTTGGTGAGGAAATTATCAGGGCTATGCAATTCACTGTGTATGGTCAGATCAGAATAAATAATTTGGTACTTACTTAATACCTTCTTAATGCAGTAACAGAATCAATCATATTCAGGGAATCTACTATGATTTCTAGACATCTAACCTTATTCATATCTGCAGAATAAATTCCTAACGTGACAATTAGGTTATATGAGCAATCCAAAATGTCTTAATGAAGAATTAATTAAAGTAAAATATACATTCATTTTGTTTTCCATAGACAAACTTGAAAACTATGAGTACCAAGGAATAGTAATCTATGAGAAAAGGAACTTTAAAACGTTCATTACCTTCTTTGCAAAGACCAAAATCAGCAATTTTCACAAAGCCCTCTGTATCTAGCAATAAGTTATCCAATTTCAAATCTCTGTTCAGGATTTAAAAAAATCAAAATCAGTAGGTAATATAGAAAAAAAAAATCATTTCAACTGCAGTTCTATTTTCTCTTTACTAAAAATGGGTTTTCCAAGTTATCTGAGATTCAAGTACTATATCACAAGTATTCATTTTTCTTCCTTTTGGTGAATTTGCTGCTCTATATAGTCTCTGAATAATCTTTCTCCTGTTATATAGAAAAGGAAGAATGTATTTAAAAGGGAATGTTTTATCTCTTTCAATATGTTTTAAAGCATGAAAGGAGTTTTAAGTATCTTTAACTCAGGTTTTATTATTTGTGATAAAATGACTTAATCCAAGTTTGAAGGTTGCTTATGTACCACCCATAAGAAAGAGCTGTCAGGCTAACGGTACAAATAAAGCTTCAGAAGGGCAGGTCTAACCTTCCAAGAGAATAATAATTCAAAACAACGGAAAAGCTATCCATCCATACTAATTGATTACAAATTAAACTAGTTGAAAATATTTTATCCTTTAAGTAAAACAGGACCTTAGCTTAAAAACATTGTTAGAAGTTTGGATAACCAATGTTTACTGTCTCTTAATTCTTACTGGCCTTCCCATAATTTGCTTGGTCTTGAGCAGTGTAATTCAATCCAACAATTTCTCTGGTCTAGGCCAGTGCTATTGAAAATGTGATCCATAGACTAGCTGCTGGGCATGAATTATTTGTTTACTGGTCTGCAACTAGATAAGGAGCTTGTGTCAGTATATATATATATATCACCAACATACTGTTTAGTTCAGTTGACAGTAAGACTTCTTAATGAGGAAAGCAGTGTGATGTTTTACACTCTGGCACAAGGTACTTGTCTTATCATGGGCACATTTTGAGTAGTACTGGTTTATAGTGGTTTTCTGCAGTGGACCAGTTGAATGCAAAGTGTTCACTAGGATGAATAGTTTTGAGAACTGTATCATTAGAGGGTCACTCATAATTTGACTATTTTAATTAGAGAATGGGTGTTAGATCAGGAACCAAAAAGTTCATCATACTTTTTGTGCTAACCACCATGTCTTTCAAAATTGGGGTCTGACTTTTTTAGAGGTCACTTACCAGGTGAAGGAGAAAATTAAGAAGGTGATTAAACACAAAATATTCTTCTTAATTATGTTTAATTCTAAATGATACTAATGCCATTCGAAAAAATAAAAAATGTTTACTTACCTATAAACAATTTTGTGTTCATGTAAATATTGCAACCCAAGAACTACACAAGCAGCATAAAATCTGTTTGAAGAATTAGATTGAAAGAAGTTTAATACATTTCACTGCTCTTGAATGCCAGTGGATATTTTTATGCTTCAAAGCAGAACTCTGTAGTTAACTAATTTCACAAATATTTATGTAGTCCTTACTATGTTCTGCACACTGTGCTAGATATTAGGGGTCAAATCAAAAAACGGGAAAAGCACAGTCTTGACATCAGAGCCACTAACTTTGCTGATGGAGTCGCTGAGAGCCTCAGGAGCAGCTGATCACCAGGTTCTACAGGAAGAAGGATCATGAGCCACGGGGCGAAGGAAGTTTTGTGGGGACATACAGGCTACTTCCCCCAAAGGAAAAGCAACAGAGGAAGAAAAGCCATAACCTTTTTGACAACTGGTAACGAGTCAGTGTGGCGAAAATAAGGGATGGAGTACCCGGGGAAGAAGCGGTGGGAGATCAGGCTGAAAACAGAGGCTGATGCTGGCTCCTGATTGTAAAACTATGGGGACTGAAACTTTCTCTCTTAGTGACAGAGAATCAAACCATTTTAATCAGAGGAGAATGATCACATTACGTTAGAGATATTTTTCTGATAGCAGTGTGAAGGCTGGAGTAGAAATAAGCAGAGCTCCAGAAGGAAAACAAAAAACAGATAAGGCTTTTGTAGTGGTACAGAGGAAAGATCGTGAGAATGCCCGACGCAGGTGGTAACAGACAGAGTGAGAGAGATTCAAGAGAAACTTCAAGGTGAGCATGACAGCATGTGGTGTCTCAAGCGCTGAATAGGATGAGGGAGCAGGAAGAAGAAAGATGAACTCTCAAGGTTTCCATATTAGTGAGCACAGAAGAAATACAGAAATATGGAAGTAGCCGAAGTTCTGTGGGGAAAAGGAGTGTGGCTTTAGACATGTTGACTTTGAAAGGCCCGTGAGGCAGCTGACGAAGTCTAGAAGTTGGACATATATGTTTGAATCTCAGAAAAACTCAGGCCCAGACAGAATACTAATTCTTGAAGCACACGGCCATGTTTGTCTTTCCATTTTTATCCTAAATGCACAGCATAATGTCTGATACATGGCAGGTATACTGAACGAGGAGGAAGGGAATAAAGGAACAAATTTAAAAATGCAAATCTGTCTTCACTGAAGAATAACATATTAGGAGATTCTTATGAGGTTTAGTTTTGAATTATGTGAGTATTATGAGTAATAACATGAATATTTTTTCTCATTCTTTTTTTTTGAGACAGGTTCTCACTCTGCCACCCATGTTGGAGTAAAGTGGTGTAATCATACCTCACTGCAGCCTTGGATTCCCATGTTCAAGCAATCCCCCTGTCTCAGTCTCCCAAGAAGCTAGGACTACAGGCACATACCACTACACCCAGGTAATTTTTTCTTTTTTGTAGAGATTGGGTCTTGCTATGTTGTCCAGACTGGTCTCAAACTCCTGGGCTCCCACCTGGCCACCCAAAGCACTGAGAGCACAGCAATTCTCCCACCCCAGCCTCCCAAAGCACTGGGATTATAGGCATGAGCCACTACGCTTGACCATGAATAATTTCTCTATAAAACAGACATAATACCCTCTCCTAAGGTGCGATATTTCATTCACCATCTATTCATCTCACCCCAACTTCACTGCCATGCATAGAGATAATAACTCTTGTCACTTTGGTGAACGTTCTTTCAAACTTTTAGTGTGCATTTATATTTGTGTATAGGCAACATAGCTATGTTTTGCATTGACTTATTTGTATAAAAATGGGACCACAATTTAGGAAAAGTTGTTATTTAATTTTTTTTTGAGTTGGAGTCTCACTCTGTTGCCCAGGCTGGAGTGCAGTGGGTAACACAACTATTTAATAGATTGGGCGCGGTGGCTCAGCCTGTAATCCCAGCACTTTGGGAGGTCTCGACCTGCTGGGCTCAGGCAATCCTTCTGCGTCAGCCTTCCCAGTAGCTGGAACTACAGACAGATGCCACCACACCCAGCTAATTTTCTGATTTATTGTAGAGACAAGGTCTCACCAAGTTGCCCAGGCTGGTCTCGAACCCCTAAGCTCAGGCAATCCTCTTGCCTCGGCCTCCCAAAGTGCTGAGATTACAGGCTGAGCCACCGCTCCCAGCCTATTTAATTTTCTTTTGAGTTGGAGTCTCACTCTGTCGCCCAGGCTGGAGTGCAGTGGCACTCACACGGCCACTGAAGCCTCGACTTGCTGGGCTCAGGTGATCCTTCCGCCTTAGTCTTCCAAGTAGCTGGAACTACAGGCACACACCACCATGCCTGGCTAGGAAAAATTTTTTTGATGCAACTATTTAGAAATATTTATTTGATTGCATATTAGGTGTTATATAATAACTTATCAAAAGTTTAAAGGATATACTGAAGTTCATGAAAATAAATGTGATTTCAAAAGTCCTTAAGATAGTTATTTATTTATTTAAAAAAATTTTTTTTGAGTCGGAGTCTCACTCTGTCGCCAGGCTGGAGTGCACTGGCATGCTCATGGCCACCCCGGCGCCGATCTGCTGGGCTCCAGTGATCCTTCTGCCCCAGCCTTCCAAGTAGCCAGAACTAGGTACGTGCTACCATGACCAGTCAATTTTTGATTCACTGTGGAGACAAGTTCTTGCCAGATTGCCCAGGTTTGGTCTTGAACCTACAGCCTGAGGCAATCCATTTGCCTCGGCCTCCCAAAGTGCCGGAATTACAGGTTGAGCCATCGAGTTCGGCCTAGTTAGTTTTGAACAATTTTTTAGCAAACTTATTTGGTAGTAAAACAATATTGCAACAATTATAAAAATACCTTGTTTTCTTTTTATGTCTTTCTTAGTAGACAGACTGCCCCAATTATACCCAACTTAAGAAATAACTAGGTAAGGCTGGGCACAGTGGCTCACGCCTATAATCCCAGCACTTTGAGAGGCCAAGGTGAGAGGATTGCCTGAGCCCATGGGGTTTGAGACCATCCTGGGCAATTTGGCAAGACGTCATCTCAACAATAAATAAAAAAATTAGCCGGATGTGGTGGCATGTGTCTGTAGTTCCAGCTACTTGGAAGGCCGAGGCGGAAGGATCGCCTGAGCTCAGCAGGTCGAGACCTCCCAAAGTTCTGGGATTACAGGCTGAGCTACCGCGCCCAATCTATTAAATAGTTGTGTTACCCACTACACTCCAGCCTGGGTAACAGAGTGAGACTCCAACTTAAAAAAAAAGAAAAGAAATAACTAGGTAAGCTATCTAATAGAGGTGTAATTAGGTAGGCTATATAAAACATGCACATCACTGAATGCTTACTATATGTCGTGTGTTATGTTATCTATCTTCACTCTCAGTTTACTTAACCTTCAGTCAATCTTTAAGATAAATATTTTACAAGAGTGAGCTCAGAAAGAGTGATGTGTCTAAGGTTAAACAACTAGACAAGAACAAAATTAGGAATCAAACTATTTTGATTCTGTAGTCTCAATCAAAAAAAAAATACTGATCGCCTTGTATATGACAGGTACTCTTGTAGATATTTCACTAGTAAACAAGACAGATATGGTCCTTACTCCTCCTTTTTAATAAGGAAAGACAGACAATAAAAACTTAAAAAAATAAATGAATAAGATTGTTTTATGTAGAAATAAAGTGATATGAGAAGATAATCTGATTTGGTTAGTGATGTAGTGGCATTTTAGATAGAGTACTCAGAAAAGGCCTTTTAAAGAAATGACATTTGTGGCTGGCTCACACCTGTAATCCCAGCACTTTGGGAGGCGGAGGTGGGAGGATTGCCTGAGCCCAGGGGTTCAAGTCCAGCCTGGGCAATTTGGCGAGACCTCAACTCTATAATAAATCAAAAAAGGCAGCTGGGTGTGGTGGCACAGGCCTTCAATTCCAGCTACTTGAAAGGTTGAGGTGGAAGGATTGCCTGAGCCCAGGGGTTCAAGACCAGCCTGGGCAATTTGACGAGACCTCAACTCTATAATAAATCAAAAAAGGCAGCTGGGTGTGGTGGCACAGGCCTTCAATTCCAGCTACTTGAAAGGTTGAGGTGGAAGGATTGCCTGAGCCCAGCAGGTCGAGGCTGCGGTGGCCGTGAGTGTGCCACTGCACTCCAGCCTGTACAACAGTGTGAGACTCCAACCCTCCCCCCCCAGAAAAAAGAAATGACATTTTCTCTGAATTGGAGGGAGGTACTTCAGATTTGGAATACTACAATGTAGTAGTATTTTATTCATGCATTTTTACCAGGCTTAATAGTTTCATTTGTATACAAAAAAAAAAGTTCCTTAAGGCAAAACTGCATTTTATATTTCTTTAAAAACAAACATAACAAAACAAATTTCCATGGCAGAACAAAGCTAAGCATAATTGAAATATCTGCTTTAATTTTTAACTATTCAGGGAATGAATTATTAGCAGCCTTCTGCTACTTTTTGGCTTTTGACTCCACTTTGAATGTGTCTGTACTCATTAGAACTAACCCCTCTTTCCTCATCTGAAACTTAAAGGTTATGCCAGTTCTGCCTACTATCTGCTCTACACACCTCTAGTGACTATGAGGAAAATCAAATAAAGAAATGGAAGTGAAAGTGAAAGTGCTATACAAATGTCTATTGCTATTTCATTGGAACATAGATACAGGCTCACACCTGTAATCCCAGCATTTTGGGAGGCTGAGGTGGGACGACTGCTTGCACTCAGGAGTTCAAGACCAACCTAGGCAACAGAATGAGACCTTGTCTCTACAAAAAGTAAAAAAAATTAGCCAGGCATGGTAGTGCATGCTGTAGTCCCAGCTACTCGAGAGGCTGAGGCGGGAGAATCACCTGAGCCCAGGAGGTGGAGGTTGCAGTGATCACACCACTGCACTCCAGCTTGGGTGACAGAATAGGACCCTGACTCAAAAAAAAAGACAGGAGTTGAAAACTCAAGAGTAAATCCAATAATGATTTGCTATTGGGTTTATGTTTTCTATAATTTGAGATATAGTTTGGAGGTGGAGTTAACTGAACTTGCTAATAGCTTAGATGTGAAAGGCAGGAGAAAATGAGGATCAAGA